GGGTGTGCTGGGGAGGGGGGACGGGGCACCAGCCTGGAGGCACGAGTCCCACCGAGCAGAAACAATTCGAAGTACAAATGAGAACAGCATTTCCTTACAGCTCAGCCACCTCCTCTCTTTACTGAAGCAACTGCAAAACCTCTCCTTCTCCCACTCCAAAACCCCCGCTCTGCTTCCCGAGAGTCTCTGCTGCCGGGGAGAAGTGAGCCTTAAACACATCTTCTAGTGAGCGTGTTCAGTCTGGCGATGAAAGCGGGATCCTGGGTCCGGAGCTGCACCTCCAGGGACATTTAGGGTGATGTGCAATAGTACAACTGGCATGCGGCGAGCCGCTGCTGGCATGGAGGTGCTCGCAGGTTGCGGGCAGACTGAGGAGGGATGATCTGTTACAGTTCGTGTTAGTCTTTGAACGGGAGAAAAATAATCTGGCTGTGTCTAAGTATCGTTTTAGCTGGTGTTAACTCTTTCCCTCTCCATGACTTTAATATTAAACAATTTTAGAGCAACAGGACACTGAGTGGATGCTTATTCTTGCAGAGGGGAGAGATCAGACACATCTATTAAGAGAATGGGGGGACAAGTGTTTCTCTACTAGGATCCACCACTGCATTTATGGCTTTCCCTCTTTCGTAAGAGTGAAACGCCCTCCCAGCTAGTGCCACAGCATCTGCATGTAGGCAAATCAGGGTCTTCTCAAACAGCAAGCAAGCTCTTTCTGCAGGAGATGAGCTGCTGCGTGGGCTACACCTGCCTTGGCCTGCCTTCCCATGGCGGGCTGGGGACCACTGGCTGCACCCCTGGGGACAAGGACAGGGCTGTGCGTCTGTTTGCTGCCCTTTGGGGAGGGGAAGGTGCCTGGGGTTCTGGTTAAGGGTGGCTGACTTTGTCCCACCAGGAAGGCAGCTCTTACTGCCCTAGTGCCTGGATCCTTTTCCATTGCCACGTTGGCTCCAGCTGACAACCAGGGGTTTGTCCCTGTCCTGGCCGTGTGTGGAGATGCTCAGTGGGAGCTGCGAGCCCCACATCAGCTGGCCCGGCAGGAGAGGCCGACCAGTGCTCCCAGCTGGAGGCTGACATTCCCAGTTCCACGGGAGAGCTGGGGTGCTTTGAGTTACAGCCCAGTGGCCACGAATCCAAGCTGTCCCCAAAGCCAAGCGTTTTGTAACAGACTCTCATCCCCGGTTCCACCAGCTCAGGTGCTGTCACTGCCGTGGTCCGGAGCCAGGCCCTGGGAAAGGTGCCTGTAAAGCAGAGCACGAGGCTGGGGCGCCTGGAGCAAGCCACCATCTGAGCACAATCACTCCTAGAAGCTTCTCATCCTCGTTTCTGCCACCAGCGATGGCTGCTGATGGATTCCCGGCGCAGGCTGACACACGCAGGCTGCAGGGATGTTGGGGAGAGCGATGCTCCTGCCAGCACGGAGGCAACAGCTGCTGTGTGACCTTTCCAGCCAGGTAGGCAGCAGCCTCGGCTCTGCTCACCGGCCCTTCCCAGAATCACAGCATCACTCAGGTTGGAAAAGACCCTTGGGATCATTGAGTCCAACCCTCAGCCCTACTCTTCAAACTTCTCCCCTACCCCACATCCCCCAACAGCTCATCCAAACGGCCCTTAAACACACCCAGGGATGGGGACTCCCCCTGCCCCCTCCCTGGGCAGCCTGTTCCACTCTCTGCCCACACTTTCTGGGAAATTTTTTTTCCTGATGCCCAGCCTGCCTCTCCCCTGTTGAAGTTTAAAGCTGTTCCCTCTTGTTCTATCGCTAATTCCCTGGGAGCAGAGCCCAGCCCCAGCCTCTCTGCAATGTCCCTTCAGGAGCTGCAGAGAGTGAGGAGGTCTCCCCTCAGCCTCCTCCTCCTCCTCACACTAAACAGTCCTTCCTCCCTCCCAGCCCCACACCTCATCCTCTGCCCTGCCCCACAGCCCGACAGCCGGGAGGATGTGGCTAAGCGGATGTTTGTCCCTCCTGGGAGGGTTCTCTGCAGCCACGGAGCATTTAAAGCTCTTCACATTGAGATGCAACACCCCGGGGACGGGAAATTCAAGGCACCCGACGATGTTACTTGTTTTCCATCGCCTGCTGCGGCGCTGAGCCATCACCTCCGAGGCGGGGGCCAGGAGAGCCGTGGCAATGGCTCTTGGGGGCCTGGGGGTGGAGGGAAGGGGCCCCCCCAGCAGTCAGTGTATTTTAGTTTTATCCAGCGTTTCCTGAGGACAGCCCTGGTGCTCCGGGCAGGGCAGGAAAGCCCAAGGGCTGGGAGGCAGCGGCAGCGCAGGCAGGGAGGGCAGAGCAAGGCAGGGGAGCAGCACAAGGTCAGCGCTGGAGCTACAGCCCCTCTTTTCCCCTTCTCCCCTTGCTGCCAGCAAGCTTCTCCCCTCCCTTCCTACCACAGGGAAATTCTCCACTTGGAAATAACCAAACCTCCTCCGTCCTATTCAACACTGCAAAGTCTCCTGTCTTGGAGAAGACTCGAGTGGATGTGGGCTTGAAAAAGCACCGGGTGACTTCAGCCCACGATGGCCTATAGCCCTCAGCTAGAAAAGGGTCAGGCTGGCCTAAAATCGGATGGTTTTGTGGATCCAGTTCTGTCCCCATCCAGCACGGTTGTTTCAAGCAGCGGGAGGGGAAAAATTCCCCGGGCTGCTTGCGGTGCCGCTCCTGGGCCCCTTAAGCCACTCTATTAGCACCTCTAATCGCCTGGCCAGCGCAATTTCCTGGTGGCTGCTGCCCAGTCCGGGCTTCGAGACACCGCTAACCCCCAACTGCCCCGTATTAACACTCGGGATTGGTAGGGGCAAGCAATTAGGCCACGCTCAGCCCAGCAAAGCAGCGAGAGCAATTATGGCCATCCTATTAAAACCGACAAGAGCTCGCTCTATATTTAGAAACACGGGGAACTGGCTGCTTTATTATTATTTTTCTTTTCCTTTTCTTTAAATGATTTTTTTTTTTCCACCTCGTCTTCATGGTCCACTTAGCTGGTTTCAGCCGCAGCCAGCTGTAAACTTTGGAGGGGGCACTCTCTGCTCTGAGCCGGGGGTGGTTGTTATTTCCTCTGATAATGAAGCGGTGGCAGCGGGCGGCGGGGGGGGACACACACACACACTGTGCCAACGTGCTCAACCTTTAATTCCCTCCCCAGCCCACCTGTAAATCCCTCGTGGGGGTCAGCGCTTGGTGGTGGGGCTGGAGGGGACGTGTCCCTCCTGGGGGGCATCTCACGGGCTCTGTCCCTTTTTATTCTCACCCCAAAGGGATTGGGGAGGG